GGCCGCCGCACCTGGTCGGCCTGCGAATGAGGCACGGTCTTCGCGTCCCTGATGGGCGCGTGCACCTGGTGCACGCACACGCGGTCGAGGCGGCGGCGCGGGCCGTGGCCGGGCGCGTCGCCGAGCAGCTGCACGTGCCGCGCGCTCACGAGGGCCACGTCCAAGCTGCCCTGGCCCCTGAAGCGGCCGGCTGCGACGTGAGACACGGCGCCAGGCAGGCCGGCGTCGAGCAGCCAGCACTCCGAGGCGGGTGCGTCGGTCGCCATGACAGCCTCTGAGAGGTGGGTGAGTGGCGAGGCGGCGGGAAGCCCGAGACACCTAGAGGCTGAACAGCCACGCTTGCTGCATCGTGGAAGAAGTGCGTCACGCTTCCCTTAAACCAGCGTGAAATATCAAGCCAAGTGACCGCATTGAACGATCTCGCGCGATCAGCCAGAAGACAATTCAACATGCATATATGAAGTATGAATTATGTTGCGTCTCTAATACACCCATATTGCACATACAATGCCATGCGCCCCGAAACTGCTGCTCTGGTGCTGCTAGAGCACGATCACTAAGCTGCCGCATTCATGCGTCATGGCGCCTCCAAGCCAGCTGCAAAGCGCCCCCATCAACTGCTTTGCACCCTACGTACCCTTTTGTACCATCAACCCTCGGAACAGGTCCTTACACAGCCATCCCCCAGAGAATTGTGCGATGATCACCTCAAATCACTGACACCACTGCTGCATCGCGTCATCAGCCCGGCTGTGCGCATGTGCGCGCGCGCAGTTCTGCGGGCAAATCTCTGTGGGGCTTGCCGTGACACGGCCCACACCATGCTGTGAGGCATGATCAAGTCCCCAATGCGCCCCTGCAAGTGCATGGCTGCCCCTGCAAACAAGAATGCAGCTTGGTGGCACAGGCGGCAGGGCGCTTGCAAGTGAGGATGCAGCTTGGTATGCGCAACCGTGCGAAGAAACACAGGTATATCTTGCATGGCAGTCTTCCAGCCTCCCCAATCACCAAAGGCGTGCATCTCATGCATGGCGAGGAGGTCGTACAATACGAGCGACCAACGAAAGCAAGCTTGGTCGCGTCGCGTGTGTGCGCGTGCAGGCGCACCAGTGTCTTGTGTTCAGAATACGACACATTAGCAATGGGGCCAATGCCGCCCGATGACGCCAGCTTTGACGCAACGTACCAGATTTGAGCGGGGCAAAGTCACGTTAGCGCCTCAAACCGCAAGACCTGGAGTGTGCGTGCAAGTAGACCTGGTGCAGCTGCGCCTCGGACATCAGCAGCATGTCATTCAGACTCGAAAATCGTGCAGGGCACATCGCCACCGGTGTCAGCCCCGCTGGAGGTGATGAAGCAGTGCCACACCGGACAGCCATGCCATGGCTGGGCTGGTGCAAGTGTTGATTCGGGGCTCGGAGTGGGTGATGATACAGCCAGTGCAAAGGAAGCATAATGCACCCACGCACGCGGTGGGCACTCATGACACCTTGCTTAAGCAACACGTTGTCAGCAAGGATCCCAGGAGGCGGGCACGAGCGTATGGCGGTACATATCTCGGCAAAGACACAACCAATGAGAACAGGCACGCAGGTACAGCAGTCAGGGCTTAGGAAGGTGGGCAAGGCCAGCCAGAGAGGACCGAGTGCAGCTGGATGATGTGGGAGCGGTTGACTTGTACAGTATGTAGTAAAGTGCGAGCCAACCAACCACCGGTGCTATGAAGTGAACACACCAAAGGTGTAAACCGCCGCGAGTGTCATGCAAAGGCAAACGCAAACCCGCTCCTTTCTTGGAACGCTGTCTTGTGTGTATGTGGCAACCCCCAGGCCGACGATGGGCCATTCCAAGCTGTATTCTCTCAGTGCTGGTGTGATGAAGCAGAGTGTAAGCAGTGGACTTCGGCGCAAGAAGCGGTGCCCCGCGCGCCTTTCATCACCCGTTGCTCCCACAAAGCACGGATCAATAACGAGCAGGGTGGGAGGGATATCCTGCTCAATGCCAAAGTGGCACGGTCAAGTCATGGTGGGAGTTGACTACACCACCAATACAAACGCGATTGTATGTCCGCCACAGGCCTGCGTGCGGCCCCACGAGTGAGACTTTTCAGGAATGTAAAGAGCAACAGGAAGCAATCATGGGTGCTGAAAGCACCTTGCATTGGCAGATGAAAGCAACAGAGAGAGCAGTGAGGTGAGGCACAGCGTGTGGCGGCCAAGTGCACACTGCAGCACGCGATGCACTGCATGGTCCCTCACAACTTGTTTGGAACCACCACTGACTTCAGAAACTGTGTTTGCTTGGAAACGCCACCCCCAGGCGTGGCGACGGGCACGACAGGCCTCACAGCTGCATGGAGGGACCGATGCCTTCCAACAGAGGCAGTGGAATGGACACCGTGGAGAGGGTCGGAGACGGGGCGCTCCTGGTTGCACGTGCCAGCGCCATGGCCCCGATCGCTGCCGATGCAGCTGTCCCACTCCAGGCAGATGAGGGCATCGCAAAAGAAGGAAGTGCATGCGGAGCGGAGCTCCTAGCAAAGGCCATAGAGGGGGTTGGCCCTGCGAAGTCCCTGCTGTCAAGCAGCAAGCCAGGCGGAGGTGTCAAGCTCAAGAACGCCGCGCAGGCAGGCTGCGGCAGGCAGCAGGCAGCGTTGACTGCAGGCTGCTGCAAGTGCGGGCGAGGGCTGCTGACGCTTGACATCCGCCACTCGTCTTGCCATCGTGCGGCCTGCCACACAATGCCGGTGCTGGCGAGCTGCGGCAATGCCGTGGCACAAGGGCTGATGTTGGCTCTTTCTCCCAGCAGTGTTGAAGCCTGAGATGCCTGCTGGTGTGGCGGCTTGTATTGCAGCTGCCAGTGTTCCTGCTGCTGCTGCTGCTGCTGCTGCTGCTGCTGCTGCTGCTGCTGCTGCTGCTGCTGCTGCTGCTGAGGAGGCGGCGGTGGCGGCGGCATCCGCCTGGCCTGGGCATCAGAAATGAGTCGGGCGTTGGAGACTGAAGCAGCCTGGAGCCGCCGCTGCTGCAAAGAGGTCTGCTGGCAGGTGGGCACGGGCTGCTGGCAATGCTGAACAAACTTCGACGGCAGCAGCCGCTGCTGCTGCTGCTGCTGCTGCTGCTGCTGCTGCTGCTGCTGCTGCTGCTGCTGCTGCTGCTGCTGCTGCTGCCGTTGCAGCTCCAGTTGCCGCTTGTGCTGTTCTATCAGGTGGAAGTGCTGCTTCACCTGGGGCTCCTGCTCTTGCAGCTGCTGCTGTTGCTGGTGTTGCCGTTGCTGCTCGAGTTGCCGCTGGTGCTGCTGGATCAGGTGGAAGTGCTGCTTGACCTGGGGCTGGACCAGCCTGATCCTGCCAACCCCTGTGCTCCCACGCATGCTGGTAGCAAGCGGGCTGTGCTGCGAGCCTGATGCAAGGCGTTCATGGCCAAGCAAAGAATTGTGAAGAGACGCCGCCCGAGCAGCGCGGCTGCCGCCTAGCTGCGGCGGCGCGGCGCTTGCCGCGGGCCGCAGCTGCTCGGGTGACTTCAGTGGGGGCGGCGCCGTGCCTTTGTCGCGCCACTGCAGGGGCTGCCAAGAGAGGGCGCTGCTCTGTGAGCCCAGCGCTGCGCCCCGTGTGACTGGGTTGTAGTCATAGCCCGCGGCCACGTTGTCCAGTAGGGCCCCTAGCGGTCTGTTGCAAGCATTGGGCCGTGTGCACGTACACAAGACCGTTTAGGGCGCGGCTTGTTGGAAGATAGACAACCAGTTGTGGGGAAGAGAGTGCAAAGCACAGGCTCGGTCGAGAGGTTCCTTGGATCAAATGAACTTGCTCCAAAAGCATGCAACCGGCGCCACCAACCTGAACCAGGCGCCAATGTTGGCGGTCAGCTTGAGCACTGCTTATCGTGGCAAAAGTTGAACGCATTTGTGTTTGCAGGCGCCAGGAAACAGGCATGATGCAACCTGATTCGCTGTGTCATTGCTGCATCGACTGGCGGGTGGCTGCTAGTGGCGTGTGCCATTGGGCGCCCAGTATGCTAAGTGTAAACAGTTCAATGTTCAGGCCAATGCTGCTACGACACCAGTGTGGTCGAGGTCGGCATGACAAGCGCTGAGTCAGCAGGGGTGGCCGCACCAGGCCCACCTGGTACGTCTGGGCTGAAGCTGACCACCAGGGTGTCACGGGGGAGGCGCCCGCACAGGTGCGCGTGCAGCAGCTTGCCCCCTGAGAAGGGCCTACAGGAGGGAGCGGCAGAGTGCAGCTCAAGGTGCCTCCACCACCCCTGCAAAATGGAATGTGGCATAACACCTGTGACTTGGAAGTGATAACACTCAGTGCGAACGCATGTGGCAACCCGCACACAGGCACCTGAGATGGCCGCATCACGCTGAGTGGATGGTTCAGGCGCACAAAGGGAGGCCTGGATGCAGGCCTTCACAGCTTGGCTCACCCACGACACCAGCCGGTGTGGTTCAAGTACAGCCACACAGGGCGCTCGCTGTCAGCTGCGTCCGGCCGCGTGAAGAGCTGCTGCAGGGCGACCCGCAGCCTCGCGTCGGCGGCAACTGCCTCCTGAACCAGGGCGGCAGAGGCCCGTCCTGGTGCCGCTGCGCCGCCAGCCGCTGTGCTGCTGCTTGCCTCGCCTCCCGAGCCAGCAGGGCCGGGGCCGCCGGCCTTGGCGTCTTGCGGCACCACTGGCGTCCAGGCAGTGGGGTTCTGTGCGGCCTGCTGAGTCAGCGGCACGTACCTTCCGCCGCAGTGCACCTCCAGTGCTAGCTGGCTCAGCGGCCGGTAGAAGGCCGGGTCCTGGTGCAGGGCGGTGGGACAAGAACACAATTACGCTGGTTTGTGGGGTTGCAGCTGGCTTGCTTGACAAGTAAGGTGATGCTTCCTGAATATCAAACTTGCTGGTTTGTCTTATTACCAGGGCAGCGTCTCGCACTGTCGAGGAGGGTGCAGCCCGTAACACCCCCCTGATCATGGTTGGAACCAGGGTGTGCACCCTGCCAGAGGGGAGAATGAGCCAGTCGTTCCTATGAATGACACGCCTCAACACAGCCACCTGTCTTAATGCGTAGGGCAGGTCTCTGTCGATGCCCAGCACGCACTGTCGGGCGCTGAGGGTGCCGCGGCGGCAGAACTCTACCATCTTGGCGGCGGTGTAGCTGCCTTTGATCTTGCCCTGCATGCACAGGTCACAGGGAGACACAGACATCGGGGTTGTGTGGTCGATGAGACTTCATTGTTGTACAAGGATCGCGGGTGGGCGGGCCGGCGGCCGGCGGGCAGGAT